TCAGAGTCCCAGCAGGAGCCAGTCCTGTGCTCCTCAGAGTCCCAGCAGGAGTTCAGCTCCCCTGTGCACCTCAGAGTCCAGCATGAGGCCAGTCCCTGTGCTCCTCAGAGTCCCACAGTGGCCAGTCCGTGTCTGCTCCTCAGAGTCCCAGCATGAGGCCAGTCCCTGTGCTCCTCAAGTCCCAGCAGAGGCATTCCCCTAGTGCTCCTCAAGTCTAGTTGGTTCATATCACTGAAGTAGGTGCAAGGCCTGGAGAGGCTATTATCAGAGCACAGAAGCCATTTCAGAGACCTGAAGAACTGCCTAAACTGTTTGGAGAGCCCCATTGAGCAGGCAAGTTACAGAACATTAACCTGGTAAAAGTAGTACTAGAATTTAATATGCTGCTATCCAGAATATATAATAACTACCATTATGTTTTTTATAATTTTCGGGTTTCAGATTTTTGACATGGTCAATGAATTAGTAAAAAAAAACGCTTTGAAGTTGCACTTTGTCACTTCCGCTAGACCCGAAAAGAGGTCCAGACTGCTCTTTTACATTTCACCAAGTTTGAGCTTTTTTTTTTTTTACTATTTTCATGTTCTCAGATGTCTATTACATCTAATATGTACAGTATGAGGATTGGCTTTAGAGCATATTTTATCGAGCCAACAGGTGTCACCGGCACTGCCTCTGGATGTTGAGAAACATTGAACCAGTCCGGCCCTCGGCGCGTAGCAAACATTTTTTTTTGACTTTGACATCGCCTGTTTTAAATTATCATTATGACAAAAAAGTCAAGAAAAGTATTATTATTTTCAGCTAAGCAAACAAGACATATGACGGACACAATGGCCGTGACACAAAATCATGTAGCTGCATTTGTGCGAGAAGCTCTTACTTTCATCGTCCTACTCAAACACATGCTGGCTCTGTAACTTTTGATAACTGTTTCGTTTCAGTTTTTCTTGATTCCCAAACTGTGTCTAGCTAACTAGAATACTGAAACAAATTTTGCGGAAGAAAACAAATGCTTCTTTGTGGTTGTGTGAAATTCTAGTGTTGGCTGGTTTAACAGTTCACATGGTTTTTCTGATTCCTGAAGAGACACGGAGCTCGGGGCTCTGGCCTCTGCTCCTCCACTCCTCCGCTTTCCCCACGTCGGAGCCCAGCCTGAAGCAGAGCTGCACGCCGCTGGTTTTGACGCCTGGTTCTGTCTGAACGTGGGCTCTGGATTGAAAGCTTAAGCTATTTCTGAAGTAAATCTAGATTTTTTGGGTAAATTATTTCATTTGAACCATCATTGCTACGAAGGCTGGAGCAGTGGTTGGCATTGTACAGTGGGGACCCATCTCCAGATCCTCGGCTTGGTCAGAATTACCAGAGCTGTTTGTCCCGGTTTTTCAGTGATAGGGGAAACCCGAGCACCTGAAAGAAACTCCATTAAAAAAACCCTGTTCCAACCGGAATTTGAACCCAGGACCTCCGTGCAGAGAAGAGAGAGTGCCGTCACCGTATCACCATAGTCGAGTTTAAATACTGTAGTAAAATACTTGCACATGCACACACACACGTCTACACAAAACATAGTTCATTATTCTGTATGCCTGTATTCTTGTATGTCTTGTACCGTATATGTTTGTCATATACCCGCTTGTTTTGAATTTGTATTGTATCTGTGTTGGAATGAATAAAAAAAATAATAATAATACTTGGTGGGGTTAAAAAATAAATTAAACAGCCTGAAGGTTAAAAATGCATGATGAAGGGCTTAAGAAAAATACCTTTAACTCAAACTACACTACCAAACATAGAGAACTGGGATGACTATTAGTTCTAGGTTATAAATATAATTTCACTCTGTAGAAGTTGACTGTAATTTTGTTTGGTTTAATCCAAACAACAATTCACCCAGGGAAACACTCGGGGGAACAATAAAAACTTCCACATTATAGTTCATAGTTGTTTTGCTAAACAGCTCAATAATGACGGACAAACCATGATGTAATGTGTACCGGTAATTGCGTTTTTGGCATGCCTGAGTTAGTACAGTATTGGCGGGTTATTACGTTATCAGCCTTATTACAGTTTCGAACGCTCATCATTCCCAGAGTCTTTTGCATTGTAAATCCTTTCTAACCTCTGTGGGGGAGAATTTAAATAATTGAAGGTTTTCGGGAGAGCACTTCAATGCTGACCAGATCAGAGTAGTTGTGTCAACAGTTCAATAGAGTGTAACAAAGTGTATAATTATACAAGTGACCGAAATAGAGTGAACTAATGAATATATCAATTGCCAATAGTTGTGTTTCACCATAATCAAATAAAAAGTGGGTTCAGCAAAACCAAGTCAAACTTCTTCAGGTGCAATACTCCCTTTACTGGACATACAACATACAGTACAGCATCATCTGATTTCATTCACTCTTTTCCAACCATCTCATTAAACGCGGCAAGCATTTTCAATCAAGAAGCACAGCAGCAATTAGCTTCCCATGAATGCCTCGCTTTTCACGTCACTGGTGGATGCTGCAGGAGGAACAAACATTTAAATGGAGACGTTCCCAATTTTCCATATTTGCAGCACAAATTAAAGGAAACATGTCTGACAGAAAATACTACATTTGCGCTTTATCAAGAGGAATACGTAGAACTATCCTCTTGATAGTTAGAAGAGCAACACAGGGTGGATTAAAGACACATCGAGTCAAAACTTGTAACTTATGAAGATCCAAGCATGTTGCCTTAGTAAGAAATGAGAGAAATGTGTTAAATATTTATCTAATTAAAAACCTCAATAGAATGTCTTAAGTCTTATATAAAACAATATCCCGTTGTTCTGTGAGATCAAAACACATTTAATCACTTGGCTGTTCTCAGAACAGAAGCTGAATCCATCAAACGAAGGTGTTTTGCTGAGGCAAACCAAAGACAACATTTGTGACCACTTAGCAGAACGAGATAAATATGCATGTAATATGAAAAAACAGAGTACAAGATTAATGATGGCATCAGACTGAAACCAACCACCATCCACACGACAGAAGTTATTATCTGTATTTTTCCCCAAGCAGACAGAGTTGAACCTGAGGGCGAACTCTCAGAAAGGATTTTGAACTGTGCTGTGCTCAGGACACTTGCAGGACATTCTATAGCCAGAAGAAAATAACCTACAGAATTTATAGAAAACATCCTCTTCCTTCCTTGCAGTGTGATTTGGAGCAGTTTATTCATGGTTTCATGTGAAATAGCAAAGCACAGGTCGTCTGTCAACCCTGCAGGATCATTTTCACTTTCATCTTGCATTTACAGAATATTGCTACACTACCTAAAGGTATCTTAAGTTATAATCATTCTCTTTCAGCTTGTTTCTCTGTTGTTGTGACTTGGTAATACAGGTTGAGTTTTACAGCAGAATCCATGCCTTGGTGTGTACAGGTGGGGTCACTGTCTGACCTCTGGTCATTGATATGTGAATGTGTGTGAGTATTCATACACAGCAGGTAGAGAGAAGGAGAAGTGATGCCATATTGGTGATTTCCACCAAAACTATGCTTGGGCTGAGCTGAGATTTGGTGCTCCACCCCCAGTCCCAACTGGACTTGGATACATGGAGAAAGGGTTACGCAAATCATAATTTTAAAATATCACACTAGCTCAATAAAAGCCATTTTCACACTGCAGTCCCAATCTTGGACCCGTGTTCAAAGCAAAGTTGACCTGTGCCAACATGAATGTGAGGCGTTGAAAGTAGCCGTCATCAATTCACAGTGTGCTTATCCACGGGGAGCCATGAAAACATTTTCAAACATATTTTTACAAGAACACATTTAAAATGGAAGGAACAAGTGCAAGGCCGTGGGCAGTAGGGGTGTTGTGTGTGACCAGACGGATACTTTAAAAGAAAATATACTTTTTTTTGAGTCGACAATTATCCAAAGGAAGTGTGAAAATTAATATTATTATTTCTACAATATATAGGTTTGGATTTTATTTTTCTGTTTTAGAAACTGTTGGTACGAACTAATGTTTGTGCATTTACAGTGGGGCGTAACAAACATTAACTGTAGACAGTAGCACTAAAAGTAGTCAACATGTTACTGTAGTGTCACTGAGATACATTCAGTTCCTTGAAGGAACGTTTGATTCATTTATTTTAAAATTCATACTATGGGACTATAGGCATATATCTTTAAAAAATACTTAATATATGATAACAGCCCAATGCTACATTGTCTGTGTGTCAACCGTTTAATCTCATTATATAAACAGGCCTACAATATAATGGTATACCCAAATTACATTTTGCCTCTGATTTTTCTTAGCCATAAAGGTATATTATGTTGGTAGCATATTATAAATGATTATATAATATTTTCTCGATGATTGCTAAAACAAAACATGCACAATACTTCAAATTAAATCTATGCACAATAAATGACCATTCATGGTCTCATAGAAAAGTTAAACACACACAGCACAAGTGATGAAACAGTTTGGTGTCGAAATTACCGCTATATTTGGTCGTCGTGTTTACTCGGGGTCAAATGTGGATTGAAAGCAGAGTCAAAATGACAGGGCAGTCAGAGTCAGGGAACAGTCTGTAAACCCCTCAGATTAGGTTTAAACAGCATTCTGGTTTTCAAAGAGTGTAAATACAAGTTACAACAATATAAGTCTAAACAAAGTACTGCCTGTGGCTGCTATACCAAAATGTAGAAATTATAGATATTATAACTAGAGTTATTCTTTCATGTGAGCCTTGACTGAATGCTAAATATAGCAACAGAATAGTTTCTTTATTCTCCAAACGTCTTGTGAAGCTCCACTGTTTTACTATGAAGGAACTTTTTCCAATAAAATCTATAAAGTATATAATTAATAGTAAGACTCCAATATTATTTCTTAATTATGTATATCATCAAATATTATAGATACAACTCAACAAGCTCACACTCAACTCTCATGAATCCAAGTGCAGTCAGAATTGTCATGAGCTGTCAAGACCTCCAGTGCAGTCAGCTGAGACAATGAGCAATGACAGATATTCCAGCGAACAGGGCAACACAGACTTGGGTACTTACTGTGGTGAAGTTTGCCGGATAGCACTCCTCCCCTCGAAAGGTGCACTGCAGCAGCATCTCCTTGATGTCATGCCCTGTGCGGTTATAGAAGTCCGTCATGTTGAACAGTTTGGGCTTAAAGTTTTGAAAGTTGGCTTTATCCTTTAGAGCGGCCAGCACTTCGGGATCAGCTAGGTGCGGGTTTGCTATTTGGTAGTTGTTGTTGAGGAGGGCCAGCAGCTCTCCCACGTGATAGAGGTCATTCCTGGTGATTTTAGAGAAGCGGAACTCATTGAGGTTACAGAAGGTGATGGCGGGAAAGGTGAGGTTAGGGGCCGCCACCTCGTCCAACTTTGTGACGTGAGGATATTCCAGGTAGTATATAACTCTGTCCATGCAGACTATCATTAGCAATGCTAATGAACCTAAGAATGACAGGGACCATAAGAAGCGGCGAAATGTCATGTGTCCGTATGCAAATATATGACTCATGCCATGTAGAGTGGACATGTTGGCGAACGCTTGCAGGTTCGAAGCCCGGATGCTTTCGATACTGTCCTCAGAGCTCCCCTTCATGGCTGCGGATCTGTCCTCACAGTCTCCTAAAGAACTTCGAGAGTCTTCGCTTAGCAACAGCAATCTGCCCGGCAGCCTTCAAGAAGTGGCAATGTTCCTAGTGAAACACTCCGGCAAAACGCTTGTCAGTCTTTGTGCTACTTTTCCTTTCATCACAAATCACCTTTTACAAGTTGTTGGTTCACCGTGTAGTCCTGGGTGCTTCTTGTTCCTGCACGCAGCAATTGTATTATCTCTAAAGCTGTCTTTCCCCACTCAGCTGTCCCTTTGTAGTGGCACCAAACACAATGACAGCTTGAGAAACACCCACTTCTAACCTAAAGAAATGCGGCTTCTTCTTAGTCTTGAGCGGCGTGAAAAGGGGACATGCATGCAAGGGACATATTGGGGAGGAGAAGAACAGGGGAGACACAAGAAGCAATGAAACGGGTTAGCGTTTTGAAGAGAGGTGCTAAGCCGAAAGCGGTGAATGGGACCCGCGGAAAGAATGCCTCTACATTGCTGTGATGATGGGATGCACTGCTTTTGTGAATGGAGGTTATAAAAGACAGGGGCGGCTCGCTGGTTCCACGCCGGCACTTATGTTTAATTCCTTTTTCTGCGCTCCTTGCTGCTTTGTTGAAATATAAACGAGAGGGGGGTCAGAGTCAGAGACCTCCGACCAGCTTACCAATGTGCTTGACAACCGGCAGCTTCCAACGCACTCCCACTTCCTTGTTCGCAAAGACCCTCAGTTGCCACATAGGACAGCTTTACTCTCATTCCTCGGCAACACGCAAAAACCAAACCGTATCCACGCTTCTTCCATGAGTCCAGTTAACACACAGAGGTTTAATTTGTGCCGCGAGGAGCCGTTTCACTTGCGTTTTCGTGTTCCAGCTGCTCTCTCCCACCTCCCTCTCCCCCCTTTCTCCCACTATCTCACCTCTGTGTTCGGTGTCCCTCACTCGCCCTTTTCCTCTTTAGTAGTCAGGATCCATCCCACTGCTGAATGGCTGTTTCGCTGTGTGTCTGCTCACAAGAGGAAGGGGGGGGTCCTTCTCAATCTGGACGCCGTCTTATTCTTCAATCTGGTCCAACAGCATGCTTCATGTGTGCACTCGGCGCTGTACAACAAAGCCACATGTTGCTTGTTTGTTATCCTGGCATATGGAAATTCAATGTCATATTCTTGTTTTTGATGTGTATTTACAAAGCATGCCATGAAGACGTTCATAGAGTGATATAAACTTATTGGAATTGTATTGAAATTTGAGAAAAATGAGTGCAAGCATGATTATGTAATACACTAGGTTTTGCGTGGATAGGGAAGTCTGGACGACTCGACTCAGACCGCTGGCCCCGCGTTGGATAAAGCGGAAGTAAATAGATGGATGCATGGAGCTTTTCGTTTTATCTCAGCAGGTCATCTAGTCGGTTCGTTAGTCACTCTTTACTCTCAGATCCTGACAGTAACATGACATAAAGATTAGTGTTCAGGCTTGATGAGGACATTATATTTTATCACAGTCAAAAGTTCACTACACCATTAACCATTCATTCGCCTAAGACCAAAAGAAAACATCACTCACTAGATGTGCAGGGTGTCTCATTAGCATAATAATGGACGCACCGTCAAGGATATGACCACATGTCTTTAAGGATTAGATCAATACAGGTCCATGGTAACTAAGCCAGACGTCCATGGCAACCACAAGCAATAACACTAGAGAGGATAGGAATTCAGATAAAAACCAGGGCAACCTCTCTGCTGTATTGAAATGTTAACAATTCTATAGGGAGTGTCAGTAGTAACTAGATGCACAGAATATCACACAGAATTTAAGGTGACGTGCAGCCTGGAGTGGTCGGCCCATGTGGTTGAGATCATCATTCACTCATTTATATCTTTGAATCTGACCATGATGATCTACCCCAGTTGTAACAATTTATCAAACAGGGCGAAAGGGTTAGGCTGAAGTTATTTAGTTATTTCGCCTAACCCCAACACCAAAATCAAATGGTAGAAATGAAGCAAATAGATAAGATACAATTTCACATGAACAAATAAGTCAATAATAACATGAAAAATTCTAATTTTTACACAAAATATACGGAAACGGCGAATCAGATGTGGTGCCACCTGCATGTGATTGACCATGGTCACCCAAAGCGCTCTACAATGTTCAGAGTTGAGATATTTCGATATAGAAAGCCAGATCCCATCATATATCTGAAGCTAAGCAGGGCTGGGCCTAGTTTGTACGTGATGGGAGACCTCTGAGAACACCAGGTGTCACAGTGTTGTAAAGTGCCAAACGTTGTTGTGTCCTTAGGCAAGACACATCATCAAACTGATCTAAAATGAGTCTGGTGTGTGCGTAAATGACTGGTAGTGATCGGAGTATGGCACATACTGGTTGCCTCGCTTCTGTCAATCTGTGCTAGGCTACTGGAGTGAAAGAATAGTGACATGTGAAGCATCTTTAAGTGTCTAAACAGAACTTTATAAAACCGATGAAATATTATTAATTGTAGTACACATATGTACACATACGTTCATATATAAACAATTATAATATATGGTTTGACAAATGTGACAAAACATTCACAAACCACAAAAACCAATTTAATGGCTGCTGATTATTATTTGTTGGACTGTGATATGTCATTTAAATCCCAAAAGTTTTCTCATTTAATTTTATTCTAGTTTGATCTATTGTTGATACTGTTGCTTCAAAATATAGCCATTAAAACGGCACACTACCACGGAATGTAAATGACAAATGGCAGAGTGATAAGGGGACAAAAGTTAATGCTGGGATGAGCAGTGATGCCCAGACTTCCCTCTCCTGTTATGGCTGTGCACCACCATAATGATGAATGCTGAACAGAAGGAGCACTTTTACTGTGATCTTAGTACATTAGATAAGATAAGATAGTATGGTGTCCGGTGGAACTAAGACAATATCAATCGCCTGAGGTTGGCAGCCCTACATAGCAGATCACTTGACGTATTTTATTTATGTTTAACATGACGGGTATTTTTCTACAATTTCCCAATTGAAATCTGTCTCTATGACTCTGACCCTAACTCTGTGATACAGCCTCAGGCGTAATCCTGAGTCGAGATGTTGTTTGGTCCAGAAGTTAAAAAACAATGAAAATGTCTATTGGGTTTCACTTTTAAAAGTAAACAAATGTTTACTTGCATATCTCCAAATGTAGTCTACAAACACAAAAACTTGTGGTACTTAAAGTGCTTTTATTTTTCCATATTATTATAAAGTTGGGGTCAGGGTCAGTATCAGGGAGCAAATTTCCGGCCTTCAAGAGAAAACAGTGCTGCAGATGACAAAGGAACTATTACTAGAACTAATATTACTATTACTCCTTCACAATTCCTGACTGAATTGTCACTGTCCGCCATGCCCATAGAGTGCCATTCTAACTAATGTGCCACAACTTCCACGGTCTATGGGCAGTTTCAAAATGTGAAAAAACGCATTTGTGCATGCGTCAGCCGGCACGAGCCCCATTCATTTAACGATTGCCTTCAAAAATTCACAGCAACTAAAACTAGACTGGTCCAAAAAAATTCAGCATTGACACACATGTGGAACAGAGCTTTGGGCCAAGAGCCGACTTTTGGACCCTCCTGTAAAGACGTTTTTGAGAGGTCTGCAAATGCTATCTGTTAGCATTGAATAATTCTCATTCCACCCCCATCGGCCCGAGGTGGTATTGCAAGCATGTCAGCGCATGTCAGCGCACGTCAGCGCACGTCATTTTGGCTACTTTTGAGCCGGGACCCGCCCCCACTGACCATGCCCCAGACATTCTTTATTATGCCAGACAGTGACGTTGGGAAACTCTAATAAGCGGTTACACTGCCAAATTTATTGCAGTCATCAAGAACTATACATCCAATTTGTTGCAATTTGAGTTAAGCTGTAATTATTTGCTTTTCATCTACATTATAATTTGTAAAGATAAGTAAAAGTAATTTCAGAATGCTAGGCTGTTGTTGCAGATTGCTTGGCAGAAAGGGTTGGACTTTCCAGAATAATTGGCTTTCAAGTGGATGGTAGAATGCACAACCTAATGCAGTGAATATTAATAAGGGCTATTATATTTGAGGCGCTGCATTTGTTTTGATGTCTGTGACTTTTGCCAAAGTAGCAAACAGGATTTAACATGCTTAATTTACACAAAAATCCACTATTTAATTTTTTGTGTGATAATTACACAGAAATTGTAAATGTTTCAGCCGTCTCTCATTTAGCAGTGTGTCCTTCGGCTCAGGGCTGTCATGTTGTTGCTCAAACCAAACTCGCCACAAGGTTTGTGCTGTTTCCATGACCACCGCAATTTACCGTTCTGTATGAAGACGTACACAGGTATGACATAGAGCATTGGTTCCCAACCTCGTTTTCTCTGTTAACCCCAGAGCCACCATAGGGCAACACTTGTTGTTACCCATGGGTGCCAAACTCATTCTGAGAGGGAGCCAAACAACAACAACAAAATTGAGCTTTTTTAGCCTACACTGTTACACAAAGGTTTCCATCACGTTTTTGTGGTTTGTTTATGTATTACATCTGTTTCTTTCATTTATTCACGACGTAGGTTTTATATTATTTCACGAAGCTAAAACTGAACTAGCTTGTTATTACAAACTGATGAACACAGATAGCAATAATATGTGGTCTAACTTTAATGTATACATTTAGTCATGTTTATTGCGATTGCTAAGACATGGTGGGTAGCTCAAGCCTTCTCAAGATACGCACCACAACAGTGAACATTTCATGAAATCAAAACCCTGAAAAAAATATTAT